TCGCTCGTCACGCCGAAGACCCGGGTTCGATTCCTGACATGGGTACAATGTGTGAAGCCCATTTCTGGTGTCCCCCGCCGTGATATTGCTGGAATATTGCTAAAAGCGGCGTAAAACCATACTCACTCACTGTCTGAGAACCAGCCTTTTCATCTCAATATTACTTGGTCCAGCATCCAGGCAAGGGAGTTAATCTCGCAAAAACAGAATACCATTAGAAATAGTGAAATACACACAACAATGAGCATCCTCTATCATCCAGGGTATTATATCTCCATCATGTTAAGATTAACACCCTGGACCTAATTGCCACCATAACTTCGTTAAGAGTCTGGACCCCGTTCCACAAAGTGATCGTAGCACTACGTCTGTCGTAAGCCTGTGTTAAGGATAGGAGTTACGAATATCTTAGCACTATGATCGCTTTCTGGAACGGGACCCTGGTTCAAATGACATGATGCAAGAAATAGCTGTCCAATAAAAATACACAATTCTTTCAAGACTGAGACAAGCAGCTATGTAACCAGTACTCTTGTTGTTGTGCGCCTCTCAAATACAGGAATGTGAGCAGGTTTTCTAAAAAAAAAGAGGAAAACTCTAGGGGGGTCTTGGGGCATGGACCCCTCCCCGAATTTTTTTAAACATTTGATTGATAAACAATTTTGTGCATGTTGGATAACATTCACACCAAGAAATGGCAAAAGTCAAGTAAACAAAGATGATGGATGCAAATTTCAAAGTTAAATTATTACTTTTAAAAAATCGGGCATAGCGTCTTTGCACCCGGCTACCTGTGCAATGTCTAACCCTTTCCCTATGTTGAAGCATATTGAAAAAAAATTACCTTGTACTAATCACATGAACAACTATAAAACATCTAATTCACTTATAGGCTAAAAGAAAACTTTATCTTAAAAACAAGCCATCATATGAGTACTTACAATTTCTATGTGACGCCACACCCAACATTATAGTGCAAGAATTCATTATAGAAAACGTATGGTGTCCGAAAACCTATGATCCGACGATAATAGTCTTGTGTCATGAATAATAATAAAGGCATAAATGAGGCTAAAAGCTCTGATTGAAAAGAGGACAATCCGCGACTGTTATCCGGAATCACGACAATATTTTTTGGAGTAATTTAAAAAATATTTAATTATGTTTTTACGCGGAAGATGAGGACTACTGTTTTAAAAAACGTGATTTTCCGCATTTCCGCAGAGATTTCACATCCCCACAAATACTAAATAAAACATCTTCTCGCCTAAGAATCCCCTCTTCCTGTGTTAGTACTTGGGAAAATATCTTGTCTAGCTAATATACTACCGGTAATCAAAACTAGTTAAAGATCACCCACAATTGGAAGAGTCCGTGTTGCAATACCCACCAGACATGACAGATTAACTACAGTCATATGAACAAAATCAGATGTTCTTTAACTTCTTTTGAGTAGTATAGTTCATTTATAAGAGTCTTTGATCAAAATTGACCATACTACATCACTAATCCCTGTGTTATGTGTAATTCATGACAAATGACAGTCATCAGAGATCAGAGATTTTACTTATTTAGACTAGTTTATGCATCTATGTTTCAATTTTGGTAAATTTCTGGGACCAGGGTGCAGCCTGGTTTTGTCAGGTGCAACTAGATTTTCATGTCAACATGCACATGGTGCAAGCTAAATCATGTTCCTTAACGAGCACTGGGCCCCGTTCCACAAAATGATCTTAGTGCTAAGACTGCCGTAAGTCTATGTTAAAGTGTGGGAGTTACGATCGTCTTAGCGCTACGAGGGGTCCTGGATTCTTTTTCAGAAGGTTTTTTATTGGTTTTTGATACCCACACCAAGAGAGAAAGAAATCCTGTGCTAAGTGATAGAAAGAAGAAGATGGTGATGTCACTTCCAAAATGAGGCTTGATGGCGAATGCTTCCAGGTGTTTCTGCTCTAGTTCACAGCAGATGTAATTCAAAACAAGAGTTTGCCACTAACGTGGTTGCAGAATTTATGACATAATTATATCTAAACAAACCCTAACCTTTTTTAACCGAGGTGGAACTTGTCATGGAAATTGTAAAAAAAAGGAGAGTTTGGAACCTAAGTCCATCTTGTTGCCATGGAAACGTAAAAAATAAAAATGTCTAAATAGCAAAAGGCACCAGTTTAGCATGTACATGACAAACCTGCAAAGTTTCATGAAAAAATATTGAACGGTTTCTGAGTTATGCTCCGGAAACGAAACGTGACGGACGGACGGACAGAGTCCGTTTCTATATCCACCTCCAACTTTGTTGGGCGGGGGATAATAAACATATCGTTTTTAGTATCAACAAAAAGTACACCATGCCATAGTGTGACTGGATTTCTGGTCCTTCAACTGATTGTCTGGTTTATTTACAGGTCACCGTCAGGCAAAAACACTTACTATTTTATACAGATTGTGTGAGTGGCTACTGGTAGGGCAGGACATGCTTACTCTCTTCGTGAACACCTGGTGTCATCACTGATTTTCAGTGATTCATTCCTATAATTTTCACCTCTGTTTTGACTTTTCATCTTCCCGGGGCAAGAGAGTTAACTGACTATAAAAGTAAAGTTTCCACCCTTGCCGAACTTGGCTGGTATTATGGAGTTATATTTTGGCTGGACTAACGAGTCTTGGTGTAGTCCAATCAAAATTGCACACCAAAATCGAAATCCGGTTCGTAAACTGTCATGCAGATTTCGGTCGACTGCAGGATTTGCAAAGCATGTGCATCGCTAACTCGTTGTCAACAGATATTTTCTAAATCTTTTCATGTTTTTAATCAAGGTGCTCACATGATTTGATGCACTTCGCAATGTAAGACTCGTTTTATCTCAATATAGATCTTGATTATCAATCAGATCGTCTTGACTGGGCGCCACGGTTTTGTTTGAAGCAAATGCAAGTGATACGAGAGATGGAATCTGATTGGTCAATAGGAGAGGCATAGAAGGGACATAACTCGTAATAGCCACAGGTGGCGCTACCATCGAGCCCAGGAATTCTAGCCTAGTTCGGCAAGGGTGGAAACTGGACTTTTAAAGTCAGTTAACTCTCTTGCCTCAGGAAGATGTGACTTTTATGCCCAATTGAATCTGTTTCACTGGATAATCAAGACTGGTTATTCTTTGGTGTTGATGTTTTATACATATCCGTTGATGTTTTATACATATTCGTTAATGTTTTATACATATCCATTGATGTTTTATACATATCCGTTGATGTTTTATACATATCCGTTGATGTTTTATACATATTCGTTAATGTTTTATACATGATGTTTTATACATATCCGTTGAAGTTTTATACATATCCGTTGATGTTTTATACATATCCTAACAGAACATAGATAAATTACCCTGGATAATCGAGGATGAACAAATGGTGAGAAGAAAATAAATACCCATGTTCGCCATAAGCCCCATGATTTATGATAGACACAAAAATTGTGAACTATCTAAACAAAAAGTGAATAAATTGGGAAAGGGTGTGAGTGATACATATTCGTCATGAAATGTGTGGTGAAATGAAATATACTGTTGGCAATAAATAAAGGAACATAAGACTGAGATCACTTGTTTAACATGACATCCTGGAAGAGATTGTGGTTTTCAATATAGTGATACACTAGACCATGCTAGACTGTTCACCAAGTTTGAAAAGAATCAGTGTAGTAGTTTTGAAGTTATAGGTCACAAATGTTTAAGTAAAACAATTCTAAGTCAAAAAATGAAAAATAGCTGTATTTTTTTAGAAAATCCAAATATTGAAATCAAATTTCACACTGCACCCTTCCTATACTAGTATTGAAAGTGTGACCAAGTTTGCAAGGAATCTATGCAGTAGTTTTTAAGCTTACAGGTTGCACAAATAATGTCCTCTGGAAGGGCGGACAGGCAAACTTCATTTAATTATCAAGATAATAATAATCATAATAACAAAAATCTGTTTGTAACACGCTTTTCAATGCTTGATATCCTGCTCAAGGAGCATAGAGATATACCACAAAATAGCAAAATGCAATTTAAAGGTTGCAACTTAGCCTGAAAATTTTTCTAGCCCATCTTCCCAAGGCAAGGACCTTAACTGACATTGAAATCTGCACGTTGATATCCATGTTGTTTACAAACGGAATATCAAGTTCGTTGCACGATTTTGATTGGACTATGCATGAACTTGTTAGTCCAGCCAATTCAGCAAGGGTGGAAACTGGACTTTTATAGTCCATTAACGCCCTTGCCTTGGGAAGATGTTACTTGCCTGAATAGCAATAGCGTATAAGGACACCCCCTTAAATGCCTGAAATTCTACTAGCCCTTTGAATACCTTAAACTTGACACTTTTAACATTAGAAGAACTGGCTCGGGTCAGCAGGCTGGTGCCTCATTGAGATCCGAGTGCAACCAACAGAATAGTTTTAAAAATTGCTTCTTGTGATTCTGATGTATTTGGAACACACCAGTTATAAAAAAATTTAAAAAAATTTTAGTTAGAAAATTCAGTTTGGAAGCAGGCACTGGCTGTAGCCAAGCTGTCATTTATTTACAGACATGAGGAATTAATACTAAAGTACTCACGGATATGAAAAAAAAGAAGTTTTTTCGACCTCAGATCTTAAATAAATGCAGTTAATATACAAAATATGTAAATATTCAAACAACTAAATTAGTACTAATTGGTCCGTGGCACAAATACAGCGTATCAAATGTTTTTATGCCTTTTTACACGTTAAAGTGTGTAAAAATGCGAATAAAACAGACTATTGTGAAACAGGGCATAACCATGTGTAAGTAGATCAAGGTGACCTATGACACCTTGACAACAGGTGAGAACAGGTGCATAATGCCTAGAGTCTGTTTCTGCTATGTCAGTTTGGACTTAGTTTTATTTTTGAATGTTGAAAGTGCCAACAAATTACCTCCTGTAAAGTACATTTTGTATTGTTCACTGAGATCAAACTAGCAAATCCAGACTAGTACTTTTCGAGTTGTTTTGTTATTTCGTATTTACAGCTACGTAACACTTTGTGTCGATTTTTAAATTGAGAAAAACAGTTTTTTTTCATTTCCGTGAGTACTTTAGTCACGGCAGTAACCTTTAAGTTAAGTGTTCCTTTATTTTCTTCCATGAGTATGCATGTATAACAATAAAATCAACAACTGAAAAGTTCAGACCTTTCTCCCATAGTGATAGTTGTGCCACTCAAATCTACATAATCAATACATGAAAAAGTCATGAACAAAGTGAGTGAGTGAGTGAGTGAGTGAGTGAGTGAGTGAAAGACAGTGAGAGAGCGGAGTTTTACGCTGCTTTTAGAGTGAGTGAGTGAGTTGGGTTTAACGCCACTTTGAACAGTATTCCAGTTATATCATTAAAGAGTGCCCTCCACACTGCCTTAAATGATATGAACACCTTGTGCATGTTGTGGTTGGTTATATATATTTTCCTGACTCATCATACTTTCAGTGTCAGCGGAGTTCTTAAACTGATTTTGATAAAAGATGTCATGCCTATATTTTGGTGCATAAAAACCATAAATTGAATAACAAAAATGAATTACTACAGTGGAAATTCCCCAAAACACATGCTAAATGGAGAAATATTTGAAAAAAGAAAATTCTTCAATTGCTTTTGTTTACAGCTTCAGCAAATAATCAATATAACGTGCTTCTCACTTATACCATATCACATGGCACATTTCCATATAAGGGCATGCATCAGACAAATGTATCTACTTAAGTCTTTGGACCTTATAATTGATATCAAAAGAAAATTCTTCCAAATTTAAGATATTTTTACTTTTAGAACTAGGGCCGATGCCAGATAATGAAGTTTGACAATGGCTTTTCTGTAACTCGGAAATACTGATGTAAACAATAGTAATGATAATGATAATAATTAAAAGTACAAACATTCAATTTGAAATAACCAATCATTCACAATTCATTTTTTTTCTAAAAATATTGACAAAACACCCAACGCATTTTATAAAAATATTTTCATGTTTCCGTTATTATGCCTCCAAGATCTTCATTCCAATCAAGCTACAACTCATCTTTGGACTTGGGATTTCTGCCATGTTTTTCTTTGTGTGCTGTGATGTAGGTAGGGTGCGACTTCACATGCTGTGCTCCTTGAAATACTAGACGTAGAAACTCATTGACGTCAAAACCATAGTTCGTGAATTTAGCGTGCGCTCCTAGAGTTGGATGGTGGCCCTGGAAAAGAATAACACTATTTTAACATCATGTAAAACATCACTTGCATGCACTCAGCTTTAAACATCAGACCTTACATTGCTTGTGTTTGTTTATGGATCCGTCGACCTTAAAAATTGAAAATTCAGAAACTTCAAAGATAGTGAGTGAGTGAGTTGAGTTTAATGCCGCTTTTAACAGTATTCCAGTTATCTTGCGGCATGTCAGCTTAATGTGGGAGGACAGCCCAAAGTAATTGAGGTCTCAGACATTTACGGCTTTGGTTAAACCCACAAGCACAGGCATGGTCCTGGCAAACCTAGAAACATAATCCAGGCAAACCATAATTTGACCCACAATCATAGGTTTTTGGCGTGCCCAAGGGACGCAACCCTGCATAGCAAATCCAGCGCCTTAGACAACTGGGCCACCCGTGACCCCATCTTAAGATACAAAATAGTTTTTTTTAATACTGGTGACAGTAAAAATAATTTTGGCTATAAAAATAATGCATGGGATTTCTATATGACCAAAACAGTATTTTAACGATACTGATGGAATATTGCTGTGTGCGGTGTTACACAAACAAACAAACGAACAGACAAATAACCCCACTCAATTATCCACTAATTATTGTTGGATTTCTTCATTAAGTGGCACGTATCGTCACCTACTTGATAAAGGTGTTAGTATCTACACCGAAACACCGCATTTATTGTAATAAAGAAGTTGTATATCCATAGAACTTTCTCCTTTGGTCATTGTTCATTTCGAAGTAAGTTTAATTCCTACTACCGTTTTAGTCGTAGTACACTTGTTTGTTTCAATTTGGCTAAACTTCATGATAATCGCCAGCGGCTAAGGGATGGCGTAAATCCTGCTGGGGAACCGTGCAGGTAGCAGAAGTAAGTAAGTCCCCACTGTTCCTAGTATGGTGGCCTACCTTCAGTTGCTGGCGATCCCTAACCCCGTTTTTATAATGTATTTATCGTGATATCTTTTTATGGTTCCATACTAGTCTTAAAATATACATCTGTGATAATCTAGTTATTTTACTGTCCTTTGACGACAGGTTTTATAATCAAATTGTATGTATTATTACTGTCTAGCTTGATTTAGTCACGATATGGCTGAAATATTGCTGATGTGACGATAAATATTCACTCACTCACTCACTCACTGTTCATTTCATGATTAATGCCCTTCAAAATTTCAGTAGTTCAAATCCTGCTGATATTGTTCGACTTTGGGTTCTCTTGCCAAGTCAAGCTGACCCGCTATGTTATAAGTGACATACAGTTCCAGAGATGGCCGTGTGGATGACCAAGACTGACCACTGATCACTGACCACTGACCACTGACCTCATCCTCCTGGTCCAGCTTGTCTTGTCTCTCCCAGGTGATGTAGCTGATCCCGCGGAGGCGGGCTAGGTCGTAGTAGCAGCGGGGGTCCTCGCAGTTGTAGCTAAATGAAAAATAGCAGTATTCTTTCAGGAAATCCAAACATTGAAATAAACTTTCGCATTGCAACTCTCCTATTTGTACAGAAAGTGTTCACCAAGTTTGAAAAGAATCTATGTAGTAGTTATGAAGTAATAGGTCACACAAATGTTTAAGTCAAACAATTCTTAGTCAAAAAATGACAAATAGCTGTATTTTTTCAGAAAATCCAAATACTGAAATGAAATAAAATTTCACACTGCACCTCTCCTATTGGTATGAAAAGTGTTCAGCAAAGTTGGAAAGTTATCTACACAGTAGTTTTTAGGTTATAGGTTGCACAAAAAACTGTCCTTGGAAGGAAGGAAGGATGTGAGTACAGACGGAATTCCTTGGTATAACTATATACCCCTGCCTGTTTAGTCTGGGGGTATAACAATGGGATATACTCTATCCTGACTATACCAGCACTGATCTGACATACGCACATCTCAAAAACCACGGCCCAGTCAGGTTGAAACAGCAGGTGCGTGAGGCCAGCGCCGTGCATGCCGATGAAGATGTCACTGTTATGGGAGATCTGCATATATATAACAATACAATGATAAAGAACACGAAGATGATGATGATGATGATGATGATGATGATGACAACAACGATGATGTCTTATTCACAATGTTAAAATACAGCTGTGTACGTCAATCTAATTGATGACGAACTGACAGTTTACTGTCGTACTTTCTGTAATGTGATTTTTTAGCTTATGCATTAATTCTAAGCACGAGCATTACAAATGAACTGGCTGCAGCGGTCAAATTGCACAAAATGCAACGGCAGTAGTAATATATAGGCTAGTTCAAATTCAGCATGGATATCGAAGAACAAAGTTAAAGATACGCATGTATTTCCACTGAACTGTATACAAATTCCCAAGCAGCATATTTGTGTTGAATTTATTTTCATGTATTTATTGAATTCATACATTTAACTTTCAGGCCTACTTTAAATCTGATCACACAGTATTTTGATACTTTGATGCTATATTTAAGTCAGATAATGCACACATAACTGTACATTTGTTAAATATCAGGACTCTCGCCGGCTTCATTGGCTCGTACATTATTTGTACCGAAGGTCCAGCTACCTGACGTAATCCTCAACATGATACACACTTACATCCTTCTACACCTTATATTCATCACTGTAACCAAGGTAACACTCACCTTGAGTTGGTCTAAAAATGGCATGTCCCTGAAACAGATAGAGAAAATATATATTGATTGTTCTTGCCTGTAATCACAAAATCAGTAGTGAAGATCCGGGGTAGAATAGGTAGAATACGTCTTCAGCAACCCATGCTTGCTGTAAAAGGCGACTAACGGGATCGGGTGGTCAGGCTTGCTGACTTGGTTGATGCAGGTCATTGATCCCAATTGCGTGGACCGATGCTCATGATATCAATCACTGGATTGTTTGGTCCAGACTCGATTATTTACAGACCAACGTCATGTAGCTGGAATATGGCTGAGTGCGGCGTAAAACAACAAACAAACCAACCAACCCAACCTGAAAAAAACCTATTACTATTATGTATTAAGTGATTGGCAAAAGCAAAATAAATGTCTTAAAATTTGTAAATCAGTGTTTAACTGGAAGGAGCTTAACACATAATCTACTAAGTGATTTTCTTTTAAAGAAATTAAAGTGAAAAATTAAGCATAAATGGCATTCCAAAGAAAAAAACAACAAAAACTAGTTATTAAACTGTTTTCTCCTAACTCTATGTTCTAGAATTGAATACACTCAAGACACAGATTGGTAACCATAGGCAACAGACGATCAGTGTCACCAGCTGTTAGTATAGAACATGACAACAATGTGGGGCATGTCGCCAGCAACATGGTGTAGAGGTGAGCACTCACTTGTTAAACACAACCAGCTTCACTTCAAATTCTCCAACTGTTTTGAGAGCAGAAACCAGCTGAAACAGAAGATGGCAAAGTAATGGCGGCAAACATCAACATGTTCATGAAGTAGGTGAGTGAGTGAGTGAGTGAGTGGTTTTAAGCCGCTTTTAGCAATATTCCAGCAATATCACGGTGGGGGACACCAGAAATGGGCTTCACACATTGTACCCAAGTCGGGAATCGAGCCCGGGTCTTCGGCGTGAAGAGCGAACGCTTTAACCACTAGGCTACCCAACCACCCCCCATGAAGTAGGTAATCATTTCAGTGGCAACAAGAAGAACATCCGATTCTCTTAAAACAAAAACAAAATCTGTGTTCTCATCAATTAATTCCTTAAACCTGTTAAAGCACATGTTTGAGATGTTGGTCCTTGTTTTTCAGAAATTGGGAGAATCTTTCATCATATTTTATCAGGAAAAAAGTTTCAAAGACAATTTATCATCCTGATAACCTAGATGCTCGGGTGACCCTAACATCAATCAATGCATCCAGTGGCATGATAAACAATCTGACAAATTTCTTGTTTATTTTTTCAATCAAATTTAACCTTCGGTGGTACAATATTGATCTCAATAAATAAACCATTATGATGACGTCATGCTATTGTTATTGCTGTTGATTCTGAGAGAAGAATTCACTGGCCATTCTGAACATGCAACGTAACACGTAAAACTGACACTATGGGTCATTGTGCAAAATTATAGAGACATTATATATTAAAAATAACATGGTTTAAGTCAGAGAAATCCCTCAATCTGTTGATTTCTCCACGATTATGACAGCAGCTAAAAAAATATATGTTGCCATGAATGCAGGATCTAGGTGCACATGGACCAGGATTTTACCTCGTCTTGGTTCAAGATGTTCCGGTACTTTGTGTTCCGTGCCAGCACAGTCACTCGTACCTTGTTCCTCTGCAACACAACCAGACCACCATGGTCACAGAACACCTCAGTCCGAGATACACATGGAAGTTATATATAACATTTTATATTGTATAAGTGGGTTAATATTACGATGATAAAAATAAATATTTTTATGTTTAATTCATTTCTCAGACTGGCTGCTTTTCAGTAGGGGCCAGGCCCATTAAACCAAAAATAAAAAATGTGCGGCCTTAGATTTCAACATACCGTATTCGACGTAATAAGCGCCCCTCTCTAATAAGCGCCCAAAGCGATACTTTCTAATATATTGGCAAGTGAACAATCCCAATTAGCACCCCTTCCGATTGATCAATGTACACAAGACTTATTTATTCATGTATAATACACACTCGTGTGTTATATGCACCCTTAATTATGGGCAATTAAATTCTGGAAAAATATATCTGTCGTATATAAACAGTTCAGGCCATCAGCATAAACCACTAAATTTATCTTTCAACTCTGTTTTTTCCACCAAAATAATATTCTAATAAGAGCCCCCTATTTCTAATTTTGAGAGCGCCCTGGGCGCTTATTACATCGAATACGGTAATATATGTTGGGAGGCCTGTCTAATGTCTTCTATGACTACACTTAGTAACCATGCTGATATTGACTGACATGTATGCCCACTTGAACCGAAATAAAACAGTTCGAAAAAAATATCCTCACCACCCAATTCAATTTAGCTGTATTTTATAAAAGCAACATATTTTATATGAAGAACTTATATCATTATGAAGAGATTATTGTTTGATCAGCAATGTAGTACATAAAAGCCTTTCAATAGGTTGGGTAATCCATATGTGAAGATTTCATACTCACCAGTGGGCCCTCCTGAGGAATGTCCAGTCTGTGGATCGTGTGTTGTGAGAACGCTCGGATCAGTCCACTGCCTTCGCAGCCATTAACCTGCATCACAACACTGAGTGTTCAGATGTGCTGAATACGGCATACTTAGATTTTATTGAAAAATATATTGAAATTGGTAATCATTTCTAGATATTGTTTCATCCAAATGTCAGGTTTAACACTGACAGTACCTGTGCCCCTAAAATCTTCAAGGGCGCTACATTTATTTAAATAGGCTCTGAGAATTCATTTTATCGTGCAATCTCATTAAAATCAGATCTAAGTTCTCGCTGCTGCTAAACAAAGATCTGAGGACATCCCATTACGGGTCATGTCAGAACAACCTTGCGTGAACTTTGACCGACCAATCAGAATGACCAATCAGAAGGCAGCTTTCTCGTGCTTTACGGCACTAATTTCAAATTGGCAACTACGCTTCGAAACATATTTTGACAAATTCTCGATTAAAAATTTGAAACCTGAACAAAAGAACATTCTGGAATTGCTAATAGATGGTTTAGATTGTATGGATTCAGTCGTTAAATCTACGCAATTGGGATACGATGACATGCATCAACCAAGTCAGTGAAACTGTCCACCCGAACCCATTAGTCGCCACTTACGACAAGCATAGTCGCCTTTTAAGGCAAGCATGGGTTGCTGAAGGCCAATTCGTCACGAATCAGTTGACTCCCTTACCTCGGGAAGATGTGGACATGACAGACCTCGCAATTTCAAGAATGCTTAACAGCAAACGGTGGCATCAACTCACCAGTGGCATATTGTAATACAACCCCAGCCTTGTCCGAGCCAGAAAGGAGAATACCGCTTCCTTGAAACATACCTTTTAAAAGAGAATAAATATGTTCTAGAGTGAGTGAGTTGGGTTTCAGCATTATTCCAGCAATATTACAGCAGGGGACACCAGAAATGAGCTTCACACATTGTATCCATATGGGGAATTGAACCCGGGGCTTTGGTGTTACAAGCGAACACTTTTAACTACTGGCTACCCTGTGATAAAATATCAAACAAACTGAAAGTGATAGTCACTGCACACTATCCAACTACTCTCATTAGAACCGCTACAACAGATCCGAGAATTTACTGTCTCACACTCACAAATAGCCCCGACACGATTACTTGGATAACCGATTACTGCTTGATTTGAATTCCCAACCAGTTGACATGGTAAAAAAATGTGCAAACTGGAATTTGTTATCCTTGTTGAATATTATAAATAATCATTTCAGTTGTTCAGGAAACTATCAATTATAATATTCTGTAATAATATATTAAAATATTCCGATTGTGAATTGTACTATGAATAACATGTTTCTGAATATTCAATAACAATATCATATTAAAATATATAATAATATTCTAATTGTGATTTGTACTGTGAATAATATGTTTTTGAATATTCAATAACAATATCATATTAAAATATATAATAATATTCTAATTGTGATTTGTACTGTGAATAACATGTTTTTGAATGTTCACTAACAATATTATATTATAATATCTTATAATATTCTAATTGTGATTTGTACTGTGAATAATATGTTTTTGAATATTCAATAACAATATTATATTTAAACATATAATAATATTCTAATTGTGATTAGTACTGGGAATAACATGTTTTTGAATGTTCACTAACAATATTATATTATAATATCTTATAATATTCTAATTGTGATTTGTACTGTGAATAATATGTTTTTGAATATTCAATAACAATATTATATTTAAACATATAATAATATTCTAATTGTGATTAGTACTGGGAATAACATGTTTAGGAATGTTCAATAACACTTTTATATTAAAATTTATTATAATATTCCAATTGGGATTAGTACCGAGAATAACAAGTTTCGGAATGTTCTTCACCTACCCTTTTGCCATCATACTGCTGCAGGGGAATAATTGGATGATCTGAAAATACTTTCCAGGTGGCACTGAAGAAGTCCCCATAATGGAAGCCGCTCTGAAACACAGGAACATGTGAAATGAACAAATAATTGAAATACTGGACAATGATACAATGAACTTTATCACACCCACAGACTCAAACTTGCGGGAATTGACAGCAGGACTGCACTATAATACTGGTAATACTGTAAATTGTAATATGCTTTTCAAATGATATGTTTTGCAATATTTTTTCTGTGTTCTGGATTATCATGATTATTGGGTTAAAAATGAATAAGAAGTTTCGCTACTATTTGTATCGTTTACCCTAAAATCTACACAGAAATTCAATCATAAATGATGTCTCCCTTTGAAATTGATTGACAAAATGGTGGAAACGCGGAAGTGATTTGTCTTCCACATTGTTATCTCCCCTGTATCCATGACTACAAATGGCCCTCTGCTACTTGGTCGTGTATCTTTCTTTGTGTATACATGTATTTTTTAAATCAAAAACTTCTTTGAAAATATCAGTAAAGTATCGTATTGAATACATGTTTCATTTTTTTTCAAAATATCTCGAATCAATCACATATTTCCACAAGAATGGATAAGATGTCTTTCCTGTAACCATGGTAAATTGTCTTCAAACGTTAAAATGTAAAAGAAACAATGCATGTATTTTTCAGAAACTATGTCCGTTTGAAAACCATTCATTGAGGACAATTGATTTATTTCAAAGTCATTCAGATTTAACAAACAAGATAAAAATAAGCCATACATGTCTTTCCCGTAACAAAATATTGTCCATCCCATAACAAAATATCCATCCTGTAACAATTACCTTTTCGGTCACAAATATAATTCCCACTGAATATAGTTCAAATATTTAACATAGACATTTAATCATTGGAGATTCAAAATTATAATGATGGATATATACACAATGAGGGAATTGAGACAACAATTATGTTGGTTGAAACCCTTGTCATTTTGATGGTGTTACAATAACACATACACCTTATAATACAGGACTTGTATACAAGAAAAATGCTTATTGTACTGCTATAAATCATGTCAAATTGTAGTTATCATAAAACAACCTTCTAATGTATCAACGATCTGCATTCAAAGTTTGAATATTTAATAATTTCACACAAAATATGTTTGTGACAGAAAGGACATGTAACCATGGTAACCCCAGTGCAGACAGAAAAACTTATAAAAAATATTGTGGATGTTAATTATTTTTGTAGTATGTATTAAATCATCTTTCCAAACCAAGGAATTCATTGGCTCTACTCATTCATTTGTTTTGTCACACTTCACAATTTTAAACTTTGACCTATTTGATACTGACATGACGAACACTGCATAACTTGGCCTGACCTTTGACCTGTGACCTGTGGGCTGACACAGGACCACAGGCAGCCATGTTGTTTTTACTAACTTACTGCCGACATGACTACCCACCGTGTCCCACATGACGATGTTGACGTCGGTGGAGAAGGAGTTGTTGAAGTGTTGGCTGAGGTAAAGGTTGACATAGTCGCAGAAATGGTGGAACATGTTCACACCTGTAAACAATCAACTATCGTCAACAGCTGTTTGATTGGCATTCTGGAAGTTGGTGAGTAAGAAAACGTACAACTTTATGGATAACAACTTCTTGTTTATTGCATATAGCGATATTTTGATGTAGAATATCACACCGTTATCAAGCTAGAGTGACAACAACCAAGAGGTATATATACATGATATGTTGTGATAAACAGCAGATCAACGTTGACAACAACATGTACCGTATTCGATGTAATAAGCACCCTGCTCTAATAAGAACCCATGGCCTTATTTGCTAATAAATTGGCTAGTGAACAATGCCAATTTGCACCCCTTACGATTGATCAATGTAAACATGACCTATTTATTCTTCTATAATATGCACTCGTGTGTTATATGCACCCTTAATAATGGGCAATTAAAATTCTGGAAAAATATTTCTGTCGTATATAAACATTTCAGGCTGTCATCATAAACCACAAAATTTACGATCTTTCAACTCTGTTTTTTTCACCAAAACAATATTCTAATAAGCATGATAAGAGCCCCCTATTTCTAATTTTGAGAGCGACCTGGGCGCTTATTACGTTGAATATGCTAATCAGGGCTCCAGATAAAGGCCTTATCGGTGTATGTAGGATAAAAATATGCACGATACGGTAGGGGATAATTTAGAAAGCGTATCAGATACGTATCACAGCAAACATGTCCGGTCTAACGATCATTTCTAGACGTATTTCCCCAAAATAATATTCTGATTTCAAGCAGCGTAATTTATTAAGTAAAGTGCACACTTTTTCCCAAAAAAACACAGCTGTGTATAGGGGATGTGCATTATTCACGCCATAATGAGTTTTGATGTTTATTCCCCCCCAAAGCAAAAACATTACCATGACCACATAACATCGGAAATACCATGTCAACAAATCCATACTGAATCCCCTGAGATTAAGTATATGCTGGTATTACAGTGAGTGAGTGAGTTGGGTTTTAACGCCGCTTTTAACAGTATTACAGTTATATCGGAACGTGTCAGCTGAATGTGGTAGGAAAGCTCAAAGTGATGCAGATCTCAGACGTTTACCACTTCGGTGAAACCCACGAGCACGGGTATGGTGCTGACAAACCTAGAAACATAATCGGGGCGAACCAGAATTCGAACCCACAATCATAGGTTTCTGGCGTGCCCAAGGGACACAACTCTGCACAGCGAATCGCGGCGCCTTAGACTGCTTGTATTACAAGTCAATCTGACTGCTGATAGGTCATAATGACATTGAAAATAGTGTGACCCTCTGACATACTTTCAATTCATACAGTAGGAATGGCAGTTTAGAACCTTTCTTGAACAATCAAACACTTGACTATAGACCCACTGTCATTCTCAATGGCATAACAACATTATATTTATATGAAAAAAGAAACAGCTGGCCTTAGACAAACACTCCCCTCCTCCCTTCAATTTTTTTCAGGGCGGTCAGGTAGCCTAGTGGTTAAAGCATTTGCTCGTCACGCCAAAGACCCGGCTTCAATTTCCCACATGGTTACAAGGTGTGAAGCCCATTTCTTGTGTCCACCACCTTGATATTGGTGGAATATTGCTTAAGGCGCGTAAAACCAGACTCACTCACTCATTCAAAGTTTTACCATGACCCAGGAGGAAATTAGGAGTGCCATGTTTAATGGGCTGTTCAATCTGTGCAAAATGTTTTGGAGTGATAACTTTAAAAACATTATTGTTTTGCGTAAAAAAAATTATCCACAATCTGTATATTGATCCTAGCTTCCCATGATTTGACCCCAAGTTCAAGGCCGATGTGTGTTTGAGCCAAATTCTTCCGGTGATCATTGTTGACAGTGGTTAATGTGAAAGGTGGATCCGTGCTGATATTTTGCGTTTTAAGTGACAAGCGGCAGGTTGGTCAGCATGCAACAGGAGAACAGCCTGTGACTGATATTTATTATGTGGGCAGTCAGGTAAAGTAGGCTAGCTTTTCTGAACCAAGGGAGATAACTCACCAGCATCAAGCTTGATGAGGTAGGTTGGCTTCTCAATGATGATGTCACAAACACCAGAGGTCAGAGGTGGGGACTCTAACGATGTGAAGTGTTCAACTTCTGCATACCTGGAAGAAATAATTCAGCAAATGTCTCTTGTATCTATTCGGGTTTCTAAAAACCTGTTTCTCATTTGTTTAGCATGTTCAGGAGGCGGTGGAGTAGCCTAGTGGACAAAACATTTGCTCGTCACGTAAAGGTCCTGGTTCGATTCCCCACATTGGTACAATGTCTGAATCCCCTTTCTGGTGTCCCCAACCGTAATATTAATGGAATATTGTAATATTAATGGAATATTGTAATATTAATGGAATATTGCTACAACCAGTGTAATAGCATCATCTGGATGAACAAAAAACTGTACAAGCCTGTATTTGGTATTAACAAAACATTACATGTTCCATGTCATACTATGTTTACGACACACTATGTTTTTGACAAAGTTTTTGACAGACTTTAATGGAATAGAATCCTATCCTATTTCTTGTCAATTTTGATCAAATTTTGATGACGTTGATTTAATTTAGCCAATCAGAATGCAAGGAACATTTAGCCCTTTTCAACCAGAAGTGCATAGATTCAAGTCAAAATGAGCAAACTACTTTAGACTGACGAGATGTTGGAAGAATTAATTGCCTCCTTCTCAACATGGCAATACACAGAATACATATGACAACAGCAAAACATTCTTCATCAGTAGCATCCATCTTGGCAAGATAATTCCCACCAAAACTTTGATGAGCGTAAACAGCCCAATTTTGACTGAGAAAACTTGGTCAAAGACTTTGTATTCTGTGTATCGCCATGTTGAGAAAGTGGCATCAGTGTAGGCAAAGGCATAAATTTGGTCCCAAGAATGGCTGCTCGTTGTTGAACCAAATTGATTAATTCTTCCAACATCTCTTCAGTCCAAAATAGTGTGCTTGACTTGACTCTATGCACTTCCCATTGATAAGGGGTAAATGTCCCCTGCATTCTGATTGGCTAAATTAAATCAACGCATCAAACTTTAAACAAAGTTTGACAAGAAATAGGATTGGTTTCTTTTCTATAAAAGTTAGTCAAAAACTTGGTCAAAATGGACTTTGATCAAGTTTCTTATCAAAGGTTTTGATAGTGTAACAGGGGCTTAGAGTCAAATAACTTCCTATGAAGACATAGTAGAGTATGAAAATTTGGTTTGAAAATACAAGCAAAAATGAGGCAAATGTTTTGTTAATTTCAATCTGTTAAGGTACAGTAAAGATCTAACTTGGGTTAGGAATTGAAGTAAGCAAAAATGAACAAATGTTTTGTAAAAGGCATTTGAACCATGTTAATGGAATATTCATTTTGAATCAAGTCACATCAATTCAAACATTGCCCTGACTCACCAAGACTGCAGTGGGCTCTTGTGGTCACCCTGTCTGGCCAGCGAGGCTTTGTCCAGTTGACAGTGACCTCCAATCTTCCCATTGTCCAGGAGATCCTCACGGTATCTGAAAACACACGACAGTGTCATCACCTGCTACCAGGAACTCAAGGGCTGGGACCAGTCCAAATTTACCACCCAGGTAACCCGACCCCCTATCACCCGGCCCTATCACGGTACCTGCTGAAAGTCTCGACAGTTGGGTACACCATTTTTGAATGCAAACTGTTTAACCGGAACCCTTGCAAAAAAATAGCGGGTGGTCCTGCGGGTACCCGGGTCCTTTACAGGACCCACTCGACCCAGGTCTCAGGACTGGGCGCCCACTATAACTATGAAAAAAAAAACAACACACAACGGGAGGGGGGAAATTGTGATCAGCCAGATTGGCCATCTGCGTTACTTTGCAGCAAGACTTTCAAAATTCTAACTGGCCACGGGCCAAAAGGCCAGCAGATAAATCGACCCCTGCTGGGTGTAACAACATCTGTGACATGTTACAAATCTGGGGCACGTCAGGACCCTTAAACATGCATCAAAATAAAACATTCTCTTTGTCCAGCAACACAACACTTATTAACCCCTTGATGATGTTAAGTGTCATCTTGTCGCCTCCCAATACATCAAAATATGTTTCGAAGCGTAGTTTGAAACTAGTATCGTAAAGCTCGAGAAAGCTGCCTTCTGATTGGCTAATGTCCATTTCTTGTCAGTCATTTCATTGATCGGTCAAAGTTCATGAGGGGTCGTTCTGACGTGACCCGTAATGGGATGTCCTCAGATCTTTGTTTAGTGGCAGCGAAAACTAAGGTCTGATTTTAATGAGATTGGTCACCTCCTGATGGCTATTTGGTATAGCTGTTCTCAGTCCTTAGTTTACACAACTGCTGTCAAAACATAACACTGTTAACCTACCATTAACTAGTACCACCATGCCCATCAAAAGTGGGGCATGGGTGGCCCAGTCCTCTTAGGCGCCGTGATTCGCTGGGCAGAGTTGCGTCCCTTGGCCACGACAGAAACCTATGATTTTCGATTTGAATCCCGGTTTGCCCCGATTATGTTTCTAGGTTTGTCAGCACCATAACCGCGCTCGTGGGTTTCACCAAAGTAGTAAACGTCTGAGACCTGCATCACTTCGGGCTTTCCTCCCACATTAAGCTGACACGCCGTGATATAACTGGAAAACTGTTAAAAGCGGCGTTAAACCCAATTCAGTCACTCACTCACATCAAAATATAAAATAAGAGCATAAAAGTAAAGCAATTTTAATGGCCTAAAAAGTTAAAATATCATAAAATTGTGGGAGTTCAGGGGAGTTCAATGGTATGGAATTCCATTAAAACTCACTTAAACAGTACATAATTAATGGCCATGAAGTGAATTTAACCACTAAAAATTACAATTCACAGGGTTTTCCTGAGACATTTGTGTTGGAAAGACTAAACATGCTAAAGTGAAACCCCATTAAAGTGTCATTAAAAATAAAATATGTCAAGCTTTTCATAAAAAACTATTGCCTTGGATCAACCTCACTCATTATAATGTTATATTTAAGGTTTTGTCCCATGTCATCCTTGATTACCACTGGTTAATTCAGTTAAAACAAATGATGTGAATCAAATTAAACCTGGTCGTCAGAAATGTGGTAACCTCAGCTGCCTTAAGTTCATTCAAGTTTTCATAATCAAACACGTCTCACAACCATTAGTGAGTGAGTGAGGTTTTACGCCGCCTTTAGCAATATTCCAGCAATATCACGGCGGGGGACATCAGAAATGGGCTTCACACATTGTACCCATGTCGGGAATCGAAACGGGTCTAAGCTGAACATGCTGAAGGTCCAAAGGAGCCAGCAATCCAATCGATTTCCATAAACAAACACCTCTCCAAATTATTATCACACATTTATAAACCGCAGGTATCAATGTACTAGTATCTGCTCAAATGCAGTTTATTATTCCGCGACATTAGATCTGGTTGCATTCCGGTTATTATTCTCAACTCCCTGGGGAGTATACCATGTATACAACCAAAGCTGCCTATGGGTTCCAGAAGGGTATTACATCCACCTCACATAAAGTTCACAACAGTTTTAATAATTAAAACAAAGAATATAACAAAACCATGAGATACTTTTGTTTCCTGATATGGTGTATTCACCATTTACTACTTAGTGGTTGTATTAAAATGTGAGAAAGGCTGACCTTGAGGCGAGTGTCAATTTTAAAAAATAAACTGCTGAAGTAAGTATTTGTTTGTATTTGTTAGGTGTAGTTTTACATAATGATCTATCATTTAAGAATTGACTTTCACTTTGTGTGAGTTCATTGGAGTACGAACCTTCATAGAGTGAGGGCCAAACTGTATGAACGTCAGAGCTTGCAACCTCAAAGTGAGGCCCAGTCGTCTAAGGAGCCGCGATTCGCTGTTCAGAGTTGCGTCCCTTAGGCACGCCAGAAACCTATGATTGTGGGTTAAAAACCTGGTTCGCCCCGATTATGTTTCTAGGTTTGTCAGCACCATACCCGTGCTCATGGGTTTCACTGAAGTGGTAAACGTCTGAGACCTGCATCACTTCTGGCTTTCCTCCCACATTAAGCTGACACGCCGTGATATAACTGGAAGACTGTTAAAAGCGGCGTTAAACCAAACTCACTCACTCACTGCGACCTCAAAGGATATAGGCCAAGATTTATACACAATTTTATTTAGTATGTGTGTCTTCATGTTTAGCGAGGATATTCGTGACTTTTCTCAATGTATACTAAAATGCTGAGCTCAAGATTAAAGTGTCTGAATAATCAGAAAGAACGCTTCTGTAAGTATTCGTGCGGAAGTAGTCCGTTAGTGTTAACGTCATTTCAAGAACAAGGTCTCGTGAAAAACATACGAACGTCAAATTGCGGCGATCATATGCTTATGAACGTCAATTTCATGGTCAGATGACCGACCTCTCGTCCAATTGAAAAGCTGAATATCGCTTAAACTTCAAATTAAAAAATCATTTCCAAACCAATTCCCTCCCCTGAAACCAGCCTGATAGTGTAACGTGTTAGTCCCGAGAGTCTGTGATTAATGTCCTACCTGTTGTTGCTCTGCTTCATGTCGGCGCCGCGGAAGTCCAGGTAGAGGTTGGTGGCGTGGCAGTACCGTGTGTGGTCCACGCAGCGCAGCGAGGAGTCATCCTGTACAACATGGACAGTCATTACATCTCCGGGAGAGAAGCGTCATCTACGTCACCAACACTTAAATAACATGGTTGGAACCCTTTTATGTTCAAACGAGGTGCCCCAATTGGGATTCCGGGTTAGAATTGGTCCCCAGCATCTATGCCGGCTCTAAGAGGTGACCAAATGGATCGGGTGGTCAGGCTCCGTGACTTGGTTGATTGTGTGTTAACTGCCCTAAGGTGTCGATAATTGCTCACAACATCGATCACAGGATTGTCTGGTTAAGATTCAATTGTTTTAAGAATACCATCATTTGGTTGAAATATTGAGTGAGCCATTAAACAACAAACAAATCAATCTAGAGCAGTAGCTTAGCCTAATGATCAAAACGTTTGCATGTCATGTCGAAAGTCTGAGTTTTATATCCCCACATGGGTAAGTGTGAAACCCATTTCTGGTGTACCCAATCATATTACTGGCATAATGCTAAAAGCATTGTAAAACCATACACACTTACTCCTTATGTTCAACCAGACAAGAATGTTCACGGTGAGTGAGTATGGTCTTACACCGCTTTTAGCAATATTCCAGCAATCGGCTGAAATGGGCTTCACACATTGTACCCATGTGGAGAATCGAACCTGGGTCATGACGAGTGAACACTTTAACCACTAGGCCACCCTAACACCCCTGTTCAGGTTGAAGTGACTGCAGTAAGGTTCAGTACAGAGTTGTTCTAGGTTAGCTTCCCATAGGAAAGCAACAGTACAAAACACATGGAACATATTATTCACACCATGCAGAGAGCAATGGAGAGGGCAGGGATTACAGTATCTAGGCTAGCTCACAGGCCAATCTGCCGCAAATAACCGTAAAAATTCCAAAATTGGATTTACAAATTAACTAATTCATGTTATTAAAAAATTCAAAAAGTGCCTGCAAAGGGTGATTTGTTTAGAATTCTGGATAAATTCCTGTTGGGTTCAGAACAAGAAAGAGCCGTGAAGATCCGGGGTAGAATAGATCTTCAGCAACCCATGCTTGCCGTAAAAGGCGACTATGCTTGTCGTAAAAGGCGACTAACGGGATCGGGTGGTCGGGCTCGCTGACTTGGTTGATGCATGTCATCAATCCCAATTGCGTGGATCGATGCTCATGATATCAGTCACTGGATTGTCTGGTCCAAACTTGGTTATTTACAGACCGCTTTCGTAAAGCTGGAATATTGCTGAGTGTGGTGTTATACAACAATCCAACCAATCAAATCAGAACAAGAAAGGTTGAGAAAATTGTATATTAGCTTGATCATGCCTTACTTGGTGAGCAGGCTTGCAGTAGTACTTGTACTCCGCCTTCCTCTCCTTCACCAACCCGAAATCAGCCTGCTTCCAGAATATCTCCAGGTTACTCTCCTCCCTGCTCACCCGCCTGGAGTAGATCATGTATATCATAGAGACTTGAGAGGGGGCAGTATATACATGTATATCATTGAGACTTGAGACAGGGCAGTATATCATATAGAGACTTGAGCCAGGGCAGTATATCATGTATATCATGTAGAGACTTGAGCCAGGGCAGTATATCATGTATATCATATGGAGACTGGAGATTTTGTAGGAGACCAGATATTATTTCAGCTACAGCTGCAAAAAGCAGAACTTGTATTTTTATTTTAAAAAAAGAACCTAATTATTACTATTTTTTTAAACCTATGCAACAATATATTTTTGTGGCAGACAATTTCTTTGTTTTTCAACAATCTGAAGCATAATTATTATGTTCAAGTATTTTCTGCGGCCAGTATGTTTTGATAAACGTAAGGTATCTTGACACTCACCTCTCCTTGCTGCTGCAACGAGGGGTGCTCATCCTCTGGTTCTCCGGACATGACTTCTCATAACCCCAGCAACGCTTTGACTGTGTTGCAGCCTGAAATATAGTCAGCCTGCATGGAGAATGTCTTAAGTTTAAAGTTGCAGAGAGTATAGAAAGTTATCTCAAATGCTGACACTTCTGAACACCGTTAACGCCGAGTAGCAATGGATGCAGTGACTGGATGACTGACTGGCTATATAATTATCACATGAAGCATGTTAAGTTCAACCATCTTCCCGAGGCAAAGGTGTTAACTGACTATGTAAGTCTAGCTCCCACGCTTTCCGAAATCGGCTGGAATTTTCAGACTCGATCGTAGCGCCACCAGTGGCTATTATTAGTTATGTCCCTTCCATGTACCTCCTATTGACCAATCAGATTCCACCTATCATATTACTTGCATTTGCTTCAAACAAGGCGATCTGATCAATAATCAAGATCTACATTGCAATAAAAAGGGTCTTACACTGCGAAGTGCATCAGACCACTTGCAATTTATCTACATCTACTCAGAGGCAGGAATTCGGCCCCAAGCCCGCAGCAAATGTCAATAAAATTCCCAAATAGCAGGAGCAATATAGAGGTAGAGGCTTTGATGCTTCCATAGTTTGGAATCGTAGACAAATCCCTGCATGGTTGTGTGTCATATATATATACATATTATCATTGCATTTATTCCCCATACCTTATAAGGACAAGCATCATCATCCTGGCAGCGTTGTTTGATGTGAGGATTATTCCTGAAGAAGTAGGGCACATGTTCCGGGGGGAGTCTCAGATCCCCCCAGTCAGCGGCGCCCCCTACTGTCACCAACACCGATGAGAACACCACCAGGGGAAGTAACTGAGTATGCATGCATTTACCCAGCATTCTGTGGACAAGATAGACACAATATTTTTATGGATAACAACTTCTTTAATACTGTGAAAAGCGACGTTTCGGTATAGATCCTTATTGTGTCTATCTTGTCATCCGTCAACTTCTAAGTAATGCCTATCAAACAAGTTTTCTGTGGACAAGGTAGAAATAATCAAGTCACACTGCATGTTAATAACAACTTCAAAAAATTATTTTACAGATATTTTATCATGATGATGTTTATCAGAATGTAGTACACTGTAATACCATGTACAGTCAGGTCTCGTTAATCCGACACTCGATAATCCGACAATCGGCTTTATCTGACACAAATGATGGAAGCCAATTAAATCAGTGCTATTTAGACCTGTTAATCCGACAGCCTCGCTCTCTGATTCTAAGGCATCTAATTTGCAACGAATTACCGAAATCACTCATTAATCAGTCTCGTTAATCCGACAGTGATCAGCATACTCCGTAGTCATCTGCCCGCATGTTTTGATGCAAGACGAGTCAGCTGGTAGCTGCATATTACAACTGCTGCAGTGATAAACAATTAATGAACACTTAGTGTTTGTATCGTTATCTATCGTGTAGTTGTCCGATTTTTTATCACGAAAGCTGATACAACTTAATTTCGTTTATCCGACATACTCGTTAATCCGACATAATCATATGCAACCAACCATGTCGGATTAACAGGACTTGACTGTTTTCTGGTTGTGAGGTCACCCTCAGGTTCATTGAGCATGTTAAGTGAGTGAGTGTCGTTTAATGGCACAGTGAGCATATGCTGAGGCAATATTTCAACCATATTACGGCAGCCATTAATAATGCACAAGCCAGGGTCATGTAAGCCATCGGTTGGCTGCATTAGCATGACTGCATCTGAAACAATCACTAGTGTAATATGTAATTGTCACTATGCTGCTGATATATGGATGAAACTTTCAACTTGGAAACTATACAGAAAGGAGAGTTCATTTTAGTAATGAACACATATTGTTTAGATTAGAAAAGAAGAATAACAATTCACTCAATGCAGTAATTAGGGCAACAAAATCTATGCTTTAAAAATTTAATATAAAAAAGTAAAACCAATTATTTTACTAATTCAAACAGAAATACTTTGATAATATGAAATTACAAAATTAATTGCATATTCAAATTGTAATTATGCAAGTTTCCATGTCTTCTTTGCATTTATTATTAAGAAATCCTGTATAAAATAAGATATATGATCTGTCCATGCTACAAATATGCACATAATGTTTTTTAGTTGTTATTTTTTTAATTTAGTCCTTGGCCTATATGAAATAAACTATATCTTACTATAGTTATTATGCTAAGTGTAACAACTAATCCATGCACATTATGTATGACAATGAAATGTAAAACAAGATGGGCAATGTATATCAGCATGGTAAGGTCAGACATAATAACCAACCAATCCTCATTACCGTATTCAATGTAATTAACGCCTAGGGCGCTCTCAAAATTAGAAATAGGGGGCTCTTATTAGAATATAATTTTTGTGAAAGAGTTGAAAGATCATAAATTTTGTGGTTAATGCTGACAGCCTGAAATGATACAAAAGAAAAGTCTGTGTATTATACACGACAGATATATTTTTCCTGAATTTAATTGCCTGTAATTAAGAGTACATATAACAAACGGGTGCGTATTATACACGAATAAATAAGTTATGTGTACATTTATCAATCGGAAGGCTGCTAAATGGGATTGTTCACTAGCCAATATATTAGCAAATATCAAAATGGGTGCTTATTAGAGCGGGGCGCTTATTACGTCGACTACGGTACTTGCCTCTTACAACAGGTCTGCCCTACACACACATTGATTGGCCATCCTATATGAGATAATATTTACATTGTACATGTTGTATGACCCTCATATAAATCCTTAAGCTTCACAAGCTAGCAATGTTTGAAAAGACTTGTGATATTTTACTAAAACCATGCACTATCCATTGGCAAAAGATATTTTTTTGACATACAGTATGATTTTTAGCTGGTTTACACATAGCATCATCTTTTATTGTTTTCTACATTCAACACCATCATCATTACAGATCAATAACGTTTTTGCAAAAATTAATAATACATTTCACTTTGTAACATATTGTCAGTTTTTGGGGTAGCATATTGTAATCATATTGTAATGGTTTCACTAAGTCATGAGGCTCATGATCATAATGATGCTTGGCATATCTGCCAGCACAGATTTTGGATTTATTGTTAACTTTATACACTAAACAAAGTTTTACTGTATTCTTTCACTAACGTCTCATCTAAGGTTGAAAATTAAGTTTTAATATCACTATTATCACATCTATTCAGAACAATAAAGACATTATTAAAAGCAAGATGCCTGAATCATGTGCATTAGGAACATGCATTAATTATGTCACCTGTTCATGCACTCAAACTGTTAATATGCTCAATCATGTTCAGTAGAGGACGTAACATGTACGCGATGTTAATGACAATGCAGAAAAATAAATTATTTATTTTTATTACTTGTTCTAACGTTTGATGTTTAAACCACAAATCAACAAAAAATTATACCTTATCATTGTAATCACCTGTAATTTTCATGTTTATCATACAGAATTTAAAGCACTTATAGAACCAAGGTTTTTGCAGTTTGTTAAATTTAGTTAATTTAATACGGTTCAGTGCCTTCCATTTAGTGTAGAACATTTTTAAAGTGTGTTTGTAATTTCTTTTTCAAAATGATATTATACCAAACGATCAAGTCAATTTCACTCTGCAAGAGAGTTACGTACATGTACCAAAAACATCAGTAAAAAACTAAATTGGAGGTGCCTTAGAGCCAGACAACAAACACACTCAACGTGTTACAAGTAGCATTTAAGTGTTATCCGCAAGTGACATTTAAACAACTTAAAGAACAAATAAAACCGATTTCTAAGTGTGGACAGGAGAAGTGACGTGCGATAGCTACGTTGTGACACGGATCTATATAAGTCTGTGGTCGTGGCTTCGTTGATTTGACTTTGATTTGAGTATCGATCACGGATCACTACAAGAACAGATCACTTGCACAAAACAACGTGACAACATGAACAAAATACGTATAAGTGCATAAAAAACAAATGCAAAGAGACCGAGTAGGGATATAGCGCAGAGATCATGAACACTGTGACATGTAAACACCTTTGTTGTCAGGCCCCTCATGCCTCGTCGTCTATCCACGTTACTTCCTGATATGCGCAGATACTTATGCGCAGTAAACGCCCAAGCTCGTCACAACAGATTTTAGTATTAATAAAGTGTGGGTTCGATCCCGTGTCTCACTAAACTTTATTAAACAATTTCTTTCTTTCCACTCTTACTTATTGTAGTTGGAAGGGAAAGCCATAATATGACGTGTGTGTTTTCTGACTGACGTTAATATATATCATGTCCAGATATCACAACTGATATATATATTAGTTCCTGATGTCAAACTCAAATCCAATCTTAACAAATCGACCCGTTAAGATCCGGGGTAGACTAGGTCTTCAGCAACCCATTCTTGCCTAAACGGGCGACTATGCTTGTCGTAAGAGGCGACTAACGGGATCAGGTGGTCAGGCTCGCTGACTTGGTTTGATGCATGTCATCGTATCCCAATTGCATGGATCGATGCTCATGATGTCAATCACTGGATTTTCTGGTCCAGAATCGATAATTTGCAGACCGCTGTCATATGAGTGCGGCTTTAAACAACAAACAAACTTAACAAATCCCACCCTATACATCCCTCTAGCATCCTCGATTATCCAGGGGATTACATATACAAGCCATTATGGCTGGAGATATAATACACTGGATAACCAGAAAAGACTTTGTTTGTTTAAATACAGATTAGACTGTGTTCGTTATAGCTAGCAGAGTCCATAACATATTTATTGCCTGTGCATTGTTATAGAGAGTAGAGCGTGTTCGTTATAACCGGAGTTGACTGTGTTCGCTATAGCTAGCAGAGTCCATAACATATCTATTGCCTGTGCATTGTTATAGAGAGTAGACTGTGTTCGTTATATATAGAGAAGATCTCGACCGTGTTCGTTATTTAGAGATTAGACTTTGTTCTTTATATACACAGTAGACCGTGTTCGTTATTTAGAGATTAGACTGTATCCGTTATATACAGAGTAGACTGCGTTAGTTATATAGGCCGTGTTCGTTATAACCGGAGTGGACTGTCTTCGTTATATACAGGGTAGACTGTGCTAGTCATATTGCAACTAGACTGTGTTCGTGATAACTACAGTAGACTGTGTTAGTTATATATAGAGAGGAGACCGTGTTCGTTATAACCGGAGTTGACTGTGTTCGTTATATACGAAGTAGTCTGTCTTCGTTATATACAGGGTAGACTGTGCTAGTCATATTGCAACTAGACTGTGTTCGTGATAACTAGAGTAGACTGTGTTAGTTATATATAGAGAGGAGACCGTGTTCGTTATAACCGGAGTTGACTGTGTTCGTTATATACGAAGTAGTCTGTCTTCGTTATATACAGGGTAGATTGCGTTAGTCATATAGCGACTAGGCTGTGTTCTTAATAACTAGAGTAGACTGTGTTAGTTATATATAGAGAGGAGACCGTGTTCGTTATAACCGAAGTGGACTGTGTTCGTTACATACAGAGTAGACTTTTCGTTATATACTTAGTAGAATGAGTTCGTTATATAGAGAGTAGATCTCGTCGACAGTGTTCGCTGTACACAGAGTAGACTGCATTCGTTATATACAGAGTAGGCTGTGTTCGTTATATCCAGAGAAGGCTGTGTTCGTTATATCCAGAGTAGGCTGTGTGTAGACCTCAGTGAAACAGGTGTGCTTAACACCAACAATTAACTGCCCCGCGGATTCCCAGTTAGAAATGTTCGCTTCAGCAATATATGTCGTGTAGGCTATCTGAAAGGGCACTACAATCAAACAAGGTAAAATGAATACCCCGGTACAGTCTCTACGTGTTTAAACATGTGGGATGTTGACAGACCGACTGCTCCCCGGGAACTTCCTCAGGGGGCCCACGTGGCACAGCAGGGGTAGCACAGCCGTCGACATCAGCTGGGTAGGGACGGAGGGGTCTGAGATGGGAGTGGGGGAGTGGGCATGCCGGCTGTGTCATTTGATTGAATTTAATTTACATGAGATCCAAAACGACAGTTGGGTGAGTCAGTTCGTGAAATGTATTTTATGCCGCTTTTAGCAATATTCTAGCTATATCACGTCGGGGAACATGAGAAATGGGCTTCACACAGTGTACCTTTTTGGGAATCGAACCCGGTTCTTCAGCGTGACGAGCAAACGCTTAATGCTTGCCAACCGCTCCTCAAAACCGGCATATGAGTGAGTATGGTTTTACGCCACTTTTGGCAATATTCCAGCAATATCACGGCAAGGGACATCAGAAATGGGCTTCACACGACGTACCGTTTTTAGAATCAAACCCGGGTCTTCAGCGTGACGAGCTAACGCTTAAACTACCCACCTATCCCTCTAAACCGGCATGTGCCAACATAGCATTAAGTGAGTCGGTCAAAAGTTAGGGGGGCACGGGTGGCCCAGTCGTCTAAGGCGCCGCGATTCGCTGTGCAGAATTTGCGTCCCTTGGACACGGCAGAAACCTATGATTGTGGGTTCGAATCCCGGTTCGCCCCGATTATGTTTCTAGGTTTGTCAGCACCATACCCGTGCTCGTGGGTTTCACATCACTTCGGGCTTTCCTCCCACATTAAGCTGACACGCCGTGATATAACTGGAATACTGTTAAAAGCGGCGTTAAACCCAGCTCACTCACTCACTCAAAAGTTAGACTATGTACAAGGACAGGTCCAATAAGTTTGAGCGGAGTCATGACACCTAAAAAACAGTAAAACATACGCATTGAGTTGGGGCACATTAATGCTCCTCGTGGGGAACAGAGGCGTGTGTGAAGAGAATGTGTTTGGCACATATGACAGTTGGGCACATTTGACAAAGGAATACAACAGGTTATCTCACCTCTGGCAATAAACATAACGGTATACACAAGAAGACGGTCGCTAGGGTAGCCCAGCAGTCCATGCCTTTGTTTGGCAAGACTTCCTGGGTTCTATTCTCTCGAAGGACATGCCATATAAACCATCACTGCAATACTATGCAGCGTTATCTATATCCAATCAAAAACAACATGCACCGCGTGTCGATATAAATATATAAGCATATATATTTACTTACGTAGTTGTTATAGTTTATTAATGCATTCATTGTTTTTTTAAGCTGTTTGTACTGTTTACATTATATTGATAAGTAGCGGACAACAACAAGAGACCCTTACTCGATACAGCTAAACCTCTTTATACCAAACTGTGGCGTTAAACAGTTCCGACATGCGCCAGTGTTTTTTTCACGCGTACTGAAAAAGCCGGGTTATCAAAACAATGCATCAAACACAGGTAAAAAACCTGTTACACGTAACCTCAATATCTACCTGTGTCCAAATAGTTCGCCACGCGACAATGAAATGCATCTTCTAAGAAGAACAGGTGAACGACAAACTTACCTGGTGTACATTTCAACATGCAGCTCTCTCACGCATCGGATTTACCGGAGTATGTTACCTGCGCGTTTGCGGTGCTTCTGGCATTTCAACAAACCGGCCCGGGAGCCGTCACTCTCACTTTACTCAAGCCTATTATGCCCTCTGTTTGCCAACAGTAACGGTATGGTATGGACCCGCTTCTTTCAACAAGTCGAGTCCCAATTATACGATGATGTTGAGGCCCTGATGCACACGTTAAATGTTAGAACTGCCCTGGGCGAGCTTCAGTGTGTTGACACATTAGACCAAGTCAAAGGGTCTAATTTGTCCATTTGAACACGCCTGTTTCCCGACCCGAATATGCCTGTCGTTGCTGTACGCTAGCCACCCTTGACAGATAACGGGATATTGGCAGCCCTTAGACTATGCTAGGCATTGTTTGGAAACTATGATACACGAAGGTGATAAATCATTTATGGTTAGTTTATTCTCCTTATTTGGTAAGGTGGCTTTGTATTTTGAAGCTGATCGATCAGTATTGCTCATAGTATATTGATTAGTATTGGGAAAAGCGGCGCGTTTATTTTAACGTGTGTATGCTTTATATAGTAACTTACCTAAACCGGCCCTATGTTCATTCATATCACATAAATCCCGGCTGTCTTTCCACAAGGCGGGGCGGTCGGGTAGCCTAGTGGTTAAAGCGTTCGCTCGTCACGCAGAAGACCCGGGTTCGATTCCCGACATGGGTACAATGTGTGAAGCCCATTTCTGGTGTCCCCCGCCGTGATATTGCTGGAATATTGCTAAAAGCGGCGTAAAACCATACCCAGTCAGTCATTCCACAAGGCAGGGTTTTATCGTCACCGGCAATAGTTCATCGAGTGCAGTGCGTAATATATGATGACAGATTTGAAACCCCCCACAAATGATTGTCAACACCTAGTACATAAACTCCATTCGATAAACGTTCCGAAAAAAACCACGAGAATGCGTGACAAAAGAAGCCACTAAAGTCAGGTATTCAACATTTTCAGAATTTGGGGATTGGGGGTTTGTCTCAAAACTTAAGGAATTAAGTTTTTATCCAGTATCGACATTTTGAACCGGTCCCTCAGTATAGTGTTCCACAGCTCTTAGCACTATGCTAGCAACATGACGACGGAGACACCAACACTGGTCTTTACATATTGTCCCCTCGTGATCTAACTATAACAATTCGGGGTCTAACTATCATCTAATGCAGCCCTGGCGATCTAACTATAACAATTCGGGATCTAACTATCATTTAATACAGCACTCGCGATCTAACTATAACGATTCGGGGTCTAACTATCATCTAATACAACACTCGCGATCTAACTGTAACAATTCGGGGTCTAACTATCACCTAATACAGCACTCGCGATCTAACTACAACAATTCGGGGTCTAACTATCACCTATTACAGCCCTGGCGATCTAACTATAACAATTCGGGGTCTAACTATCATCTAATACAGCCCTGGCGATCTAACTACAACAATTCGGGGTCTAACTATCACCTAATACAGCCCTGGCGATCTAACTACAACAATTCGGGGTCTAACTATCACCTAATACAGCCCTGGCGATCTAACTATAACAATTCGGGGTCTTACTATCATCTAATACAGCCCTGGCGATCTAACGACAAAA